GTGCCTTTGGAAGGAAAACCCCTCTCTTGATGGGCATCACACTCATGCCCAGTGAGATGACATGCCAAGCCTATTAAGTTGGCACAATTTCACTGAAAGGGTGATCTCATCTTGTCTTGTGGCTTTAAATACTATAATGCCTCCCAAATCACCCTGAGACTTTTTTTTTATTTTTTATTTTTTTATTGCTTAAAGTATTACAAAGGGTATTACATATGTGTCCTTTTTTTTCTTCCCCGCCCTTGACAATCCTCTGGCCCCTGAGACTTTTGAAAGAGGAGAAAACATATTAAGGAGATAAAAGTTTCAGAACATAGTCCTTTATCAAATGTAAGGGGTAAGAGAGGGATAAGATCCTAGCATGGTCCCTAAACTTCTGGCTTAAATGCCTGAATGAATGGTGGTGTGGATTATCAGTATAGGAGATGGGACAAATTTAGAGGCAATAAGGTGTTTTGAATATTTTTGTTTTCATATACCTGTGGGAAATGTGGAAAGCAGATGGACATATGTGTAAGCAGATGGACATACAGTTTTGGATCTCTGGTGAGGGTTGGAGTGGGAGATACAGATTTGGAAATCACCAAACAGGAGGAGAAGTCATAGGGTTAACAAGATCGAACGTTGATAGAAGAGTATTATCAAATGAATTGTGTTCCCCAAAGGTGTTGAAATCCTAATGCTCTGTGCCTGTGAATGGGATCTTACTTGGAAACAGAATAGGGTCTTTGCAGATGATGAAGTTAAAATGAGATGTTAGGGTGGGTCTTAATCCAATATGACTGTGTTTATAGAAAGGAGAAATTTGGACACAAACTGACACACAGAGAGAGAGAGAAAGAGAGAGAAAACACCACATGAAGATAAAAGCTGAAATTAAGGTGATGTTATCTACAATCTAAGTAATGCCAAGTTTGCCAGCAAACCAGAAGCCAAGAGAGAGGCACTAATAGAGTCTCCTTCACAGCTCTCAGAAGAAAGCAACCCTGCCAACCCTTGATCTCAGACATCTAGCCTCCAGAATTGATGGGCAATAAATTTCTGTTGTTTAAGCTACCAGTTTGTGGTACTTTGTTAAAGCACTCCTCGGAAACTAATAGAAACAGGTAAAGAGGTAAATGCATGGAAGAGTGAATGATTATTGGTAATGATTGAACAAATACTGTCAGTTCAAAAACAAGTTTGCCAGTCAGAGAAGCCGGAAAGGCTATTCCTAGGCAATTCTAAGAAAAGAACGAGCTTGTGAAAAGACACAATTATAAGAAAGGTAACACCAGCAGCTTGCTTTGGGCTGGTCAACAAGCAATAGCTGTGGAGTGGTACAGGAACATGGGTTTGTTCCTGTAAATTTCACTGTAGCACACTCATAACTACTGATAGAGAGAAATCAAAGACTCAGAAGAATGATTAAATCACTTTTGTGTTTTAAAATGCTACTGTTCTGTAAATATAGTGGCAATGGCAGCAGTTTTCAAATCTACTGAAAGTATCCCATTAAAATAATCAGAGCAAAACTAAAGAATCATGGACAATCCTATATAATAAAAGCATAATATGCAAATCGACCGAACGGCAGAACGACCAGTCGGCAGAGGGCGGGCCGGCCAGCAGACGGCACCAGGCCAGCCAAGGCGCCTGCCAGTGGGCAGAGGGAGGAAACAGCTATCAGCGACCAGCAGTGGCAGAGGGGCAATTGGGGGGGGGGGGGGCTGGCACCGTCCCCTGATCGGCCTGTCTGGTCACCTCCCACAGAGGGAGGCCGGGTGGCAATGGTGGGGTGATGGGGGTGGCGCTGTCCTCTGATCCCCTGTCCTCGCCTCCCGCAGAGGGAGGCCAGACTGCAGCTTAGGGAGCGGGCCTAAGCCATCAATAGGACATCCCCTGAGGACTCCTGGACTGTGAGAGGGCGCAGGCTGGGCTGAGGGACGCCCCCCTCCAGTGCACAAATTTTCATGCACCGGGCCTCTAATGTATATAATAAAATTTAGTGCTGAGATTTGCCCTTAATTACCCAGGAACAAATTAGTGACAGCTTATAAGAGCCTCGTGATATCAGCAACTACACAGGGAGAGGCAGAGGGAAGGCCTTGAGATGAGGAGAACCTCCAAATCCCCAACAGGCACTCACTGTAAAGTGCATTGGGCCAAATTAGAGGAGCAATAGAGACTAGAAGTGTGCTCTCAATGATTCAATGCAAGAGTGAGCCAAAGGGGACTGTAAGGCAATAAGTGTTTATGCTATTAAAACTGAGTCATCCCTAACAAACTGAAGAGCCTTCCACAAGCCTCCACACTAAGGAGAACCTGCAGGAATGGATTTCAAATTGAACAAGACAGGGACAACCACAAGCAATGAAAGAAGGAAGGGGAAGGGGAACAGAGGCAGCTGATCTCAGAAAGTTAACAAGGGATGTTGTTTTTATCACTTCACGAGAACAAGGGAGGAAGGCCTCTGAAGTTTTGACACCAATAAAGCTATCCTAGCCCACTTAACCTCTCCTGAAAGTACATGAAAATTAAATTAACTAATTTTTAAATTAACTAATTTTTAAAACTTGTCAACAAGAGAAATGTCAAAATTATTATGAGAAAAAGGGAATAAGAAAAATAGTGATTTTTCTACAGATAATGAAAGTATACCAGAAAAACACATGTAGAAAACAGATAAAAACAAATATTTCAAAATGACCTGGAATAATTTAAGAAAATTATAAAAGCCATTAAAGAACAATACTGTATAAGTCATAATTAGAAAAAGTCAGAAAAGAAATGAGTAGAACCCAGCCAGGTTCGATCTCCAATGGGGGTGCATATGGAAGGTAGTTGATCAATGATTCTTTCTCTTTCTTTCTCTCTCTCTCTCTCTCTCTCTCTCTCTCTCTCTCTCTCTTTCTCTTTCTCTTCTTTCTCTCTAATAATCAATAATAAACATATCCTCAGTTGAGGACTTTTTTTTAAAAGAAATGAGTAGAAAAGCTAACATTTAAGCAAATGATATAACTCAATATAGAACTCTCATTTTTAAAAACAATTAGGTCAGAAATGAAAATTCAACTCAAATTTTGACACTATTCAAACACCACAATTTGAAGATTCATAAAAGATGAAAAGGAGGAAAACATTTTATATGAAAATCAATTTGAGATTAAAAATATTCAGAGAAGCTAATAGATATAGGAGATACAGAAGATAGAACATAAATAAATAGGAGACCCCAAAGAAGAAACAAAGCAATGGATTTAAGAAGAAATATTAAATACTGTAGCTCAAAACCACTTGAAACTGCATATTAAAACTTGAAACTACAGATAAAAGATTTTTATCAGACTTTCCTACAACACTTTATGCAATAAAGTAACAGATTTAACATGCTCAAATAAATAAATTGCAGATCTTGGATTTTGCATGGCATATGCATGGATTTTACAGCTATCCAAATGGACCCCCCAATGAAAAAGTTGCCCAGGCTTTTCTGCTTTCTCACTTCCTTGCTGTATCCCTACTATTATTCTTCTCTCTTGGCATCCAAGAGCCTTTGTATTGGGTAGGTTCAGTTCTTTCACATATCCTAGAAATGGGCACCAATCTCCAAGTGAAATTCTGAGACGTTAGGGTCTACATTGTAGACCCTACATAGCAAAAGAAACCTTATCTTCACCCAAGGCAAGATTGATAACCATGTGCTGTTATAAACATGCAAGAACTCAGAGAACAGTATCCCTGTGCACCTTTTTAAAAGATCGACTAGAGAATAAGCTTCAGACAACCAAACATACTGTAAAGATTTTGACATAAGGGCTGCAGAAGTAGTCTAGCCAATAAAAAAGAAGGGTGATAGATTCAGAATATCAGTATTTTCAATCCCTAAAGAGTGAGTGGACCGAGGATATGATCATTTGTGGATGATGACACCATAAAAGAGAACATTAGTGCCTCCTCAAGAAAGTACCCCTCAAGGAAGTCCTCAACATCACCCGCTAAAAACGACCAAACTTGAATCTGATCAGAATTCTAATACTACCCACATGAAGAAAACACAAAGGAAAGAAACGTTAACCACACCACACAAATACATTCATCAAAATCAAGACAATAAAAAATATGCAAGAAATGAAAAAAATGGAAGGGGAATTCATGGTGTAAAAAAGACTTAAGATACATATCAAATACTCATCATGTGTGGGCCTTGTTTGAATTGTATTTCAAATAAACTGTAAAAAAATATAATAGGGAAAAAATGAACACTGAGTATTTAATAATATCAAAACTGTCCTTATATTGTAAGTATAATAATGGTATTGAATTTTTGTTTGTAAATTTTCTTAATAAAATACTTACAGATGAAATAACATGTCTGGGAGTTGCTCCAAAATAATCTGGTGGCAGGGAGTAAAAATACAAAGGAAAAAAAGATTGGGAATGTATTGGTAATTACTTAATCTAGACGAAAGGTATAGTGATTCAATATGCTATGCTTTTTCTCCTTTGGCATATGTTTGAAATTTTTAATGGTAAGTTTTTAAAAGGCATAAGGAGTATTTACAAGCCCATACATTCTAGTCCTTAGACTTGCGTTGTGCCCAGGAGAAATCCATCTTCTGAACACTGCTGAGCACATAGAGAAACTGACCCCAGTGTGTGTGTGTGTAGATTTTCAAAATAGCAAATATCTCTTTTTTTTCCAATTTATTTTTATTTTTATTTTCTTTATTGATTAATCTCTTCTACGCCCAAGTTTCTAACACATTTCACCTCACTCCTCATATTGCAATTCAGTGAAATGCTTTTATTGAGGACTAAAATTGCAGTGACTTCTCAGAGTGAACATTTAAGGATAAGGGAACTCAAACAGTTAACTTTGGGCCTGAAAATAAGCCACTAGAGTAATTGTTTCTTGTGTGTGCTGGCATATGGTGGCTTGCAGAAAAAAAAAAAAGCCTTGGTGTTTGAATTATAAATTATCACTCATCTCTTTCTTGTTCTCCATGTTTTCTTTCTAGATATTTCCACACAATATACTTAGGTATTCGAAGCCGACAGAGTGGGGAGAATGACAGATGGAGGTTTTACTGGAAAATGGTGTATGAGTATGCAGATGTGAGTATGCTGCATTTGCTAGCCACCTTTCTGGAAAGTGCTCCACAGCTGGTCCTGCAGCTCTGCATTATCGTACAGACTCATAGCTTACAGGCCCTCCAAGGTAAGGGCTTGCAATTTGGTTTCTGAATTTGGGGAAAGACTGACTGGCTACTTTTGTCACATCCAAGAAACTGTTCTAATACCCTTTGTTGATACAGGCCATGGTGCTTCCGTTATATGCCTGCTGTTTGGCACTGAATTTGTGAATGATGCATATTTTGTTCTTGGCCATCACTTGTCAGCTCTAATTTTTAGAAAGACATTTGTTTTGGCCTTCAAGTTGCCCTCTGTGTAGGAAAAATGAATTTTATGATTTTGCACTTAGCCACTATGAAAATACAGTTAACTAAGGCTTTCTGGTTTGTATGCTAGAGTAATATTTCTTTTACAAGTTGAATAAGAGTCATAGCTCTTTCTCTCTCTCTAATATCATCTATCTATGCATATGAATATTAGGGTAATCTCTACAATTTTCTTTTGACTTTAAGAACCAGAGATTAAAAGAAAATGGTAGGGATTAGCTTAGTATTTTAAAAAGGACACCTGGGGGAAAAATGTCAATATTTAACGATATATTGTTTATACTAAGTTTTATCAAATGAATCTCATTATCAGATCAATATTTTCATGTTTTGCTGTGTTGTTTGATAATCTCCTCAGTAGTACTCTCCCATTTATGACAGATTTGCTCTGATGTTTCTGAGGGCCTGCTGCTCAAATCTTTTCTAGAAGCAGAAAGATTAGACAGACCAGTGGTAGACAGGTGGATAAATAAGTAGATGGATGATGGATAGGTAGCCATTTTCTATAGAAAGAGTTTCCTGGCAATGTGATAATCCTATAACTTAATAGATGTTATTAAACAGTTCACGCACTATGCTCGTTTTGTTTCCATTTCAGCAGAGCTTGCTGAGACTTCCTCTCTGCACACACATGTCTGGGCCATGCTCTAACTTGAGACTTGATCTGGTTGGTCTGGGGAATCTCTACAATAATAGCGTTATAAATGTTCATAGCAAGAAGCACATTAGCGTAGGCTGAGTGCTTTAAGTAGGGAGTGGGAGAGGCCTATTATAGGTAAAGGAAGATGGAGGGTGCGCTGTAGCCAGTGACCCATTTCTTTATGAATTCCTGGTTCAAGCCTGGCTCCACGCTGAAGTAGCTTTGGTCTAGGATGTTTGAAGAAAACTCCAAAAAGATCCCTGGGGTGTGATTCTCAAATGTCAGAAATCAAATTGGAAGAAAGAGAAAGTGGAGGGTTTGAACAGAAATAGAAGAGAAAATGTGGGAGAAGGCAAGGCCTATCAATTAGTTGTGAGTGGCTATGTTTAGCAGTGAAAGCTGCACAAGGTGGATCTGGCTTTGGTTTTCTCATTTCTTGCTGTGAGATCGTGTGCAAGTCACTTAACCTCTCTGGGCCCCACTTTCTCAAATGTAAAGGTCACAAGCTGAACTAGATGACCATTCTTTCCATCTTTGCATCAATAAATGCCCAATAAACTCATAGTGCCAGGCATGCATTAGAAAATGGTCTGTAAATGAGCATACAACTTGAAAGGCAACATCAAACAAAATCTCTGTCAAAGAATCCAGCTCTCATCTCCAGAACAACTTGGCCACTCCTTAGTATAGTTGCACAGTGAAAACTCTCTGGAAAAGGAAAACCCAAGCACCAATGGAGCGTTGCTAACCACCTTCCTGTGGCCCAAGAGTACTGAGTGTCTCTGCTAATTGTCTAAATGATTTAGAAAATTATGAAGAAGTTTTTATCCTAAAGAGGGTGGAGATAGAGGAGGAAAGGCAAGAGAGAGTCTAAGAAAATGAGATCATCTTTCATTTTGAAAGTTTTATGTAAAATTTTATACAAAAAAATAGAAAAATGATAACCTTTAGTTTTTATCAGACTATTAACCCAAAACATGGGCATCAAAATGTATGTTGCTTGGAGTTGTGGCTCTTTCCTGACACCACATATTCCCAAGTTACCTGCTAAGCTCACATTTGCATCAGGTTTGCCATAGACTTTGGGAACCAGACCTCATCCTTGGCCAAGGCAAGCCTTGATGTCAAAACCAGAAAGTCGTAGGGAAATTATGTTTCATATCACTCCCGTGGTGGTCAGACAAGTTGATGCAAAGATCTCTAGGATCAATGCCAGTAATGAAGCACACGGTGAAGAACAAGCTCGCTAGGTTAATCTCACGGCTGCCATTTTTTAACAAGGAAGGTGGGCAGAAAGTTGTATTAAAAAACCAAAGAGTGGAAATACCTGACAGTGAACAACAACAACAACAACAACACAACCTCCTGCAAATGACCTCAGGCAATGCTATAGGAATCCTTTTCCATTTCGAAAAGAAATCTGTCTTCAGAAAGAGCTTCTAAAATCAATAATCCTCCTCTGATAAATGACAAAGGAACGAGCTTATAAATTAAATTGATATGAATGATAAGATCAGAGCTATTCCCCTCCAGAAAAAAAAATTAATGTGATGGAACCTAGTCTAACTTATATTTTCATACATCTTTATGGTAAAAGATGCTTGAGATTTATACGGAAAAACACAGCTTGTGTAGTGAATACCAATAATCAGCGGCATGACACCTGTGGAGAATTTGCAAATAGCTCTGAATTAAAATCTCTAAAATATTCTTATTTAGCAAATGGAGAGCGGTCCTAGGTCTGCAAGTCATTTTCGTATATGACTATGCCTAAAATTATTTTTTAGGATAGAAAGAAAATTGCTTTTTTAACTTGACTCTAGCCATCTACTACTCGCTGAAGGACACTCTTTGAAAACCAATAAGAAAATCAAACAGGAAATATGACATTTAAAAACTTTTCTTTAAAAATTATATTCTTCTTATGGAAGTTGATGTAGCTCTGCAATATACTGTTAGCTGTGAAAATCTTTTCTCCGCTCTCCTTACTTATTGAATAATTAAATCAGAGACAGCTCCTTGTGCTGCAGGCTGACAGGTTCCGTGGAGAACTGTTCAAGTATAATTGTTTCTCAGTTTGTACTGTTCCAGGAAGGACAGATTGGTTCCTGTTCTGAGACCAGCAATCAGGGAAGAGCGGAACCTTGAATGTGAATGCAATTTTTTTTCATGCCACACTGTCCCTTAGACATAACTGCTGCATTTTCCCTAGGAACATCCAACTCTGAGTATAAAGAACACTCAAGGAGGTCCAACAGTCCATGCACAGCTAAGACGGCACAGTAGATGTTACAGCACCTGGTATAGCATTCTCTGTGATCAGAGAATTTCCAATTTATACTTTGCTATGGTTTTCTAATCCAATCCCATATCCCCACCAGAAGTGGGGGGGAGTGGTGAAAGCAAAGGAGGGAGGGAGCAAGAGAGAGAGAGTGAGAGAAAGAAGAGAGATTGGGGTTGGGGGGGGGGGAGACTGCCTGGTAAACAGAGATGGGCAATGGAACTCCCGTTAGTCTCCATGCAGAGGACACATCACCAGGAAGATGTGGTCCAAGACCTGTCATTTCTATTTTCAAACAACATCTCAGCCCCATCTAGGACCTTTGATTTTATCTAAACGGTGAAAGCAAAGATAGGAAGATACGCACCCACGTTCTATAGAGAGCAGGTACCCTACCTGGCTTTTGCACAGCCCTCAGAATCTGTAATGAGCAGGCTGGACTAAAGGGCTTCTAAAGTCACTGTTAGTTTTGTGAGTGTATTCTCTGAACATTCAGTTTTGATTTTGTAGACCCAGCCTCCTATAGCTGACAGAGAAGATACTGACTCATTTACAAACAAGAGCCCACACATCTCAGCCCCATCTAGGACCTTTGATTTTATCTAAATGGAGAAAGCAAAGATAGGAAGATACGCGCCCACCTTCTATAGAGAGCAGGTACCCTACCTGGCCTTTGCACAGCCCTGAGAATCTGTAATGAGCAGGCTGGACTAAAGGGCTTCTAAAGTCACTGTTAGTTTTGTGAGTGTATTCTCTGAACATTCAGTTTTGATTTTTGTAGACCCAGCCTCCTATAGCTGACAGAGAAGATACTGACTCATTTACAAACAAGAGCCCACACAAGCATGTCAAACTCGCGGCCGGCGGGTTGCATGCTGCATTATTTAAACAAGGCATGCGGCCCACCGGCCATGAGTTTGACATGCTTGGAGGCTTTCCCTAGCAATGTAGCAGCGCCATGCTCCATGTGGTCCATGAGCGTTCTCCACAGAGCAGCCTGGGAAATGCTGTGCAGGACCAGGGCATGCCATGTAACCTTCACAAAGAGTGTGTGCAAACCACAGTCCAGGCTGCATTTAACAGCCACCTGGCTCTGACAGACAGGTGTGCATGCCCATCATGCAGAAACAACCCTTCCTTGTAGCGGAGCCATCTAGATAACACAAAAGAAATCAGACCGTTACCAGATGCGAGTGGTTGCCAGTCTACCAGCCCAAATGTTTCCACTTTTCCCTGATAGCTCTAGTTCATTTCCAATCTCCACCCTTTCTTACTCTCATTGGAAAATCTCATTCTGCACTCTAAATGTATTTCGCTGTCATGTGTAGAGTGAGTTATGAACAAATGCCTTCCCACAGGAAGACTTTGCTGAGCAGGAAAACACACTTACACCTACTTCTATTCTGATTTCTTCGTATTCTAAAAACTCGCGTGTTGCCCCTTTTGCCAACAGTTTATTGTGAATAATGTGTAAGAGAGAGAAGAGAGGGCTGAAAGAAGTTTCTAACTATTCTTGCCTTGCATCCTGTGAGACTGCCGAGGAAGTCAGAGTTAAAGGGGCTGTCCCCATACTTGTGGCAGACACTGTCCCAGCTAATGAGAGTAACTAAGACCCCCTGAATGCCGAGGAAGTCAGAGTTAAAGGGGCTGTCCCCATACATGTGGCAGACACTGTGAGAAAACCATCTCATTTGTCATATCCTGATGAGGACTTTCAAGACCTAAATCATTGGATTTAGTTATTCAACTTGGTAGTAAAGCAGGTAGAGCCACACCCAGCTACCTTTACTTGTCTCAGGTTAGAGAAGAAACCCAGCTACCTTCAAGCCCAAGTCCTT